TCATCAGGGAGACCACTCACAATTTGTGATTTTCAGTGAGTCCCTAAAAATGAACATGAAATTACAATATATATAAATATGTAAGAGTAAATTTAAACAGATAAAAAGTCAGAGAATTTAAGAATTGCTGATTGCAATCTTAAAACTATTAAAAGGTAATGTTCTATGTTTATGTTCTAATATGTTAATGTTCTAATTATTTTTATGTCACCCTGTTATCGCCCTGATAAAGGCACAAGTATGTGATAAAAAAAAAAAATATATATATATATATATATATATATATATATATATATATAAAATCAATGAAATATTACAAAATTTTGAATATATTGTTCGCTACACTCTGTGTTTCACGTTTCTTCTGAAACGATCATCAGGCGAATGATTACTCTACAGCAGTTAAAGTTTGTGTGATGACGTTTTTAACGTGCTTGCGCTGATACAATTCAAAAATTGCGCGCGCGTTTAAAATTTTTGCGCTGAATCTATTTTTATGTCTACATTTTGCGAAAAGTTCACTTCTTTTGTTTAGTGTCGTCTCCTTCGAGGATTTAAGAATTGCCATTTTTTCCTCCAGGCACAGGTTGCATGACCGTCCGCCCGCTGAGTAAGCCGGAACGCATTTGATGATTGTCCACTTGATGTTGAATTGTTTAGTCTTTTTAGGTTCCATGTGTGTTTTGATAGTTCAGTTTCGGATTCGTAGGCTGGGTTGTTAATGGATTTTTTGTGGTTGTAGTATCTGGTCTTGAACGTACCAGCTGTGACACCGATGTAGTTCTTTGACTCAGGAGGATTTGTAGTTGTAATTTCGGCATTATAGACGAGGCTTTCAGTTAGGCATTTACCAAGGAGTGGGCATTCATTCTTGATGCGGCAGTTGCAATTTGTACGATCTGACGAGGTTTTGTTCGATTTCATGATGTTTCGGTTGTGGCTGGAAATAACACTTTTTACGTTTGGCATGCACGAGTAGCTATAACTTTGACTGAATTGCGGTTAAATATCTTGTGAAGCTTTGAGGATTTTGGAAAGTGTTTATCGATTATTTGAAGGAATTTCTGCGCAACATTAGTTTTAACGTTTTTACTGAAAGGTGGGTTAAACCAGATTATGTTCCGCTTACGTTGTGAATTGTGACGGTATTGGCTTGGGTTGTGTTGGTCGGAGTAGGTGAGCTTGACATTATAATTACAACGTTTGAGTGATTCTTCGTAAACCGGTAGACTCTCTTTAAAAGATTTTTCGTTGGAGGATAGTGAGGATAGACGTTTGTTGATTGACTTCGGTATTTGCTTGATGATGCTAGGTGGATGGTTAGATCTAGCGTCAACATACAGTGGCTCGTTGTTTGGCTTACGGAAAGGTTGGTGATTTCCTTCGATAAGGTTGAGTGTGACGTCAAGAAAGTTTACCAGGTGGTAGTTGATTTCCGCGGTGATTTTAAGGCCATAGTCATCAAAGATTTTGTGGAGATTTTTCCTTGCATGATCAGCCTGACCTCCCGTTCCCTCAAGGATGAGCAATCCGTCATCTCTGTACAACCCAACGTTGTCTATCCCAAAGCTTTCAGCTAGTCTGTTCAGCAAGAACAAACCGACCAGTTCGCAAACCTCGGCACCGTCGTAACTTCCCATCGCGACATCGAAAAGAGACTGGTTTTTCTTTTTTACCCACGTTTTATCGTTGTAGAAGAGAAGAGACTTGCGCGCATGTTTAATGATAGAGATGTGATAATCGGTGATTTCGATCAAAGATTTTGCCCATATGATGACTTTATCCAGCAGGGTTTCGGTAATTGAAGGGTAAAACTCGACGATGTCGAAGGATAAGAATGCGTGATTAGGTTTATTTTTGATGGAATTAAACCAGTTGATAACCGAGGTAGTGTTCTTCCACTGGTTCACGTGAAGTATTGATCTTAGTTTGTTGTTAATATCGTCGAGGATGATTTTGCTTACTTTTCCCAGCTCACTCTTCGCTGGGTTAATGAGACGGCATTTCGGATTAGAATCAAAGTTTTCTTTGTGATCTTTTAAGGTGATGAAGGCAGGTGTTTTAGCCATTACATCAATTCGATCGCCGATACCGAGGTTACTAGAGATTTCCTTAAGCTCGCTATTAATATCGTTCGTGAAATGGTCTTCCCCGAATTTACAAGTCGTTGTTATATTATCAGTTATTAACTTGTTGTAATTCTCTGGTGTTGTTCTGTAGATGTTCCTAGTTTTGTCTGCGAATATCATGAGATCTCCCGATGATTTTATATTATTCAAATCGCTCGCGATAGTGTTTAAAAATTCATCGTTAATTTTCCTAAACTTCACATTCGAGATAAGATTGATAAAATCTTCTTCAAACGCTTTCATTTCCGGAACATTTGGGGCACTATTTCTTGTAGGAAGTCCAAATTTGCTACAGTTGGTGTTCTCCTTGTCGTGGAGAAAGAAATGAGCCTTCCAACGCATTCGTTGTATCACATTTTCTGCTTTATTGATAAGTTCCCTTTGATAATGATGATATGAGGGCAATCCAATGTTTTTCAGCGAGTAGTTGATGTTAATTCGATGCATATTCAAATTTTGAAAATACTAAAATTCCCGATATACTAGAGTGCACAACTGGATCCCAGGTGCGATAGATACAATTAAGTAAAGTATCCAAGAAGAAAGAGTGCTCGATATCAAAATTTAATAGAGCGATTAAAATAAAATCAATGAAATATTACAAAATTTTGAATATATTCTTCGCTACACTCTGTGTTTCACGTTTCTTCTGAAACGATCATCAGGCGAATGATTACTCTACAGCAGTTAAAGTTTGTGTGATGACGTTTTTAACGTGCTTGCGCTGAAAAATAGATTCAGCGCAAAAAATTTTAAACGCGCGCGCAATTTTTGAATTGTATCAGCGCAAGCACGTTAAAAACGTCATCACACAAACTTTAACTGCTCAAGAGTAATCATTCGCATGATTATCGTTTCAGAAGAAACGTGAAACACAGAGTGTAGTGAACTATAAATACAAATTTTGTCATATTTCATTGATTTGATTTTATAAATTGCTCTATTAACATTTGATATCGAGCACTCTTTCATCTTGGATACTTTACTTAATTATATATATATATATATATATATATATATATATATATATATATATATATTATAATATATATATATATATACTACAACCCTGAACACCACAACGTATCGGCAACGCGAAAGCAAAAGAGGCATAGAAATATTATATGGTTTAACCCCCCGTATAGTAAATCGGTTAGGACAAACGTTGGAGGCAGATTTCTTCAACTTATCGACAAACATTTTCCTCCCACAAACCCGCTTCACAAGATATTTAACAGAAGCACGATAAAAGTCAGTTATAGTTGTATGCCAAATGTAAAGAATGTAATTTCGCAGCATAATCGGAAAGTATTAAGGAAAAAGGATCCTCAGACAACCCCAACGTGTAATTGTAGAAATCGGGATAAATGCCCTCTAGACAACAAATGTCAATCGAAAAGTGTCGTTTACAAAGCAATTGTAACTTCTCTGGATGACGGTGTGAAGAAGATATATGTTGGTATGACAGCAAATTCGTTTAAGGAAAGATATAGCAACCATAAGAAGTCGTTTAATTTAATCAATATAAAAGGGAAACTGAACTGTCTAAATATATATGGCAACTTAAGTTTAAGGAAAAAGATTTTTCCATCCACTGGTTGCAATTCTTAATCAATCAACACCCTATGCTCCCGGTAACTCACGTTGTAATCTTTGTATGAAGAGAGAATCTTTGTATTATCCGCAAAGTGGAAGCACCGCAAAATGGCGGAAGCAAAATCTTGAGCTCCTCAAATTTTTGAAATTTTTTCACTATTTTACCAAGATATTTTTAATTTAATTGCTTAAATTTTTAATACTTGGTTTCTTGAGTTCGTTTTGCCATAATTTCCGAAAAGAACTGTCTTAGACCACACACACAATCGCCATGGCCGACGATCGTTTACAGGACAGCCTTGAGCAGTCTAAGTCAAGTCACAATCGAGCCGATATGAATTGGGATTTTCTTAAAATGCACGAGTATGTGGTGTCCAGAAGCATAGCATATGATGGTTCGCGTCTTAAATGGTGTGAGAACTATGAATCTCTTCAAGATTTCGTTAAAGTGTCATTTGGATACGAGGGTAAATGGCGTTCAGCTGGGGGTAGTTCGAAGAGATTTGAGGCCAAGGATTCTGACTTTGTCGCTACGTGGTATCCTGGGAAGTTAAATACTCTATCATTTAATGGTATGATTGGAAAGGAAGCTAAAGAATGCCTGATCACCCTGTTTACACCCCCCCCTGGAAACCCCTGTCAGAATACCTTGAAAGAAAATCCCAGTCAAACTGTTTTGGAAGAATCTATTGAAAATTTGTTGTTCGAGATAGAAATATTGAAAACTAGGATGGATTCAGTGCAATCGACAATTACTAGTGAGGACCAGCATACGCCAATAGTGGCAAATTTAACAAGTGAAATTACTCGGCTTCAGATCGACCTGGAAGAAGAAAAGTTTAAACGGTCTGTCCTTGAAACACAAGTTCAAAGACTCCAAGATGAGCTTAATACAATGAAATCATATCAAAAAGATGATGAGCTGAGTCAACGCAGCTCAGATGCAAGTGTGGTCGAAGTTGCAGCAGTCTATGCGGATCCTCAAGAGGACAGCATCACGCCGTCGCCAATGATGGAACCTACTACAACCACCAAACAAAACCAACCAACTGGCTTTAAAGACCAAATAGAGGAATATAGACGAAAACAAAAACATAAAAGAAGTCTTGGCGGTCATTTTTCATCTGAGTTATCAACTACTCGATATGATGGCCAAGTGCATCCCAAAAAGCTAAGAAAAATGCATTCACGGCAAAAAGCACCTATAGTAAAGCCAGTATCCCATGATAGAAACCAAAGTGTTTCCCTTGTTAAGAATTCTGCAGTCACACAGCAGGTTAATAGTGACACTCAGAAAAATCACCATACTCCTAGAAATAAAGATTCAGGCATACAACAGATTAATAGTAATACTCAGAAAAATCACCATACTATTAGAAATAAAGATCGCAAGAAATCCACCCCCTGCCCTTTTTTGGCCCGGCGTGGTCGGTGTGCTAAAGGAAATCGGTGCGACTTCTACCATTCCAATTCGCAGTACTGTGACAAATCCCGAGTATTTTGCCCCTTTTTGCAGAGGAAAGGTTATTGTCTGAAGGATGTCAGATGTGATTTTTTCCACCCTGTCCCTAACAACAAGTCCCTCACTACATTGGATGATCCTTTTTTCTATCGACGAACCTATCCACCCTACCAAGCCAAAATATACCCGTTTGGGTTACCCAACGCACAAAATCCACCCCTAAACATATGGAAGCCACTAAACGTCCCAAAAAAACCAACTTGATCAGAATTCCTTGCCTACCAATGAATCCCACTCCCAGACAAGTCGGTAATTCCATCGATTCGACAAACCAAAACAACACCCACTATGTCCCTGCTTTTCTCTTATCTAATGTAATGTCATTAGCCCCAAAAATTGATGAAGTACAAGATGTTGCCCGACACGGAAACTACCAATTCATTAGCATAGTGGAGACTTGGCTACAGAGTCATATACACGACAATGTAGTCAATATCGAAGGATATAACCTCATCCGCAGAGACAGAATTAACGGCCAACACGGAGGCGTTTGTACTTATATTGAAAATACGATCGGTTTTGAGTTAATAGAAAACTTAACTAATGACTTGTTTGAGGTGTTATGGATCAAAATGCTGATGCCTAGACTGCCGAGAAGATTTAATAGCTTGGTCGTCGGGACCTTATACCACCCCCCAAGTGCTGACGACTCAGCAATGCTGGATTATTTATCCAACTGTCTCTCTACATTGGAATCATGCTATCCTAATTGTGGTTTTATTATTCTGGGCGACTTTAATCAGTTAAATATCAACCGATTAAAACTAAGCTATAACCTACGTCAACTTGTTAACTTTCCAACACGTGGCAGAAATACTCTTGATCTCGTCTTGACAAATCTTTACGAATACTACGATCAACCGGTAAAGTATGCACCATTCGGTCTCTCTGATCATATGTCTGTAGAATTTAAACCAAAAGAACGATGTCAACCCCAAAGAGCGCAGAAAAGAGTGGTGAAGAAAAGAGATCTACGTCCGAGCTCCCGTCTTGCATTCCGTAAATATTTGGAACTGTTGGACATTCCCAGCATGTTTGACAAAGCCCCTTCTTGCACAGAAAAAATCTCCCTCTTGGAAACCATTGTAACTACTGGTCTGGATTATATTCTCCCACTGCGCTCAACTACATCTCGGTGTAATGAACCTCCCTGGATGAACTCAAAATTATCATTATTAATTAAGAAACGCCAGAAAGCTCTTAACCAAGGAAATATTACCCAATTCAAGTACTTGAGAAATAAAGTAAACCGCAAAAGGAAAAGTTGTCGTGCGAAGCATTATGAAAACAGCATTCAACATCTTAAAGAATGTAAACCATCCTCTTGGTGGAATGAGGTTAAGAAGCTCAGTGGAGCAAAATCTACTAGCGGAAATAACGAAGAAATCCTTAAAGCCTTAAGACCTGATGAACACCTTACGGAAACAGATAAAGTAGATATTGCAAACGAGATAAATGATTCTTTTCTTTCCCCAATGGCTGAATTTACTCCTCTCACTCCAGAGAATTACCAAGATCTGTTATTTGGCGCAGCTAATGATTCTACTGTCACAATTGCTGCAGGAGACGTATTTAAAAAACTGTCAACGCTTAATCCAAGGAAAGCCCACGGCCCTGATGGAATACCAACATGGGTGTTAAAAGAGAATGCTGATTTATTGGAACTTCCAGTCAAAGAGATCCTAGATAGTTCTTACCGCGAATGCCGTATTCCACAATCTTGGAAAGAGGCCGACATTATTGCTATCCCTAAAAAGAAACCCATAACTGACATTAATAACAACCTACGTCCAATATCATTAACACCTATTTTATCAAAACTGGCCGAAGAATTCGTGGTTGAACAGCACCTAAAACCTGCGGTATTAGCCACAATTGATAAAAGGCAATTCGGATCCATCCCGAATTCAAGCACTACGTATGCCCTTATCAGCATGTTGCATTTTTGGAATAAAAACACGGACGGAAATGGCTCTACAATCAGAATTATGCTTTTTGACTTTCGTAAAGCTTTCGACATGATAGATCATATATCCTCGCACGAAAACTGTTAAAATACAACATCTCAAAACCTATATTGCATTGGATCTTAGACTTCCTCACTGATCGCAGTCAGAGAGTTAAACTTAGCGATGACTGTTTTTCCGAGTGGAAGGCTGTGCCAGCGGGTGTCCCCCAGGGGACAAAATTAGGCCCTTGGCTTTTCTTAATCATGATGGACGACCTTGATGTTGCTGACAACAAGAACCTTTGGAAATACGTAGACGATTCAACTATGTCTGAAGTCATAAATAAAGATCAACCTAGTATAATGCAAGCGTATGTCAACGAATTCTCTTCAAAATCCAGAAGTGATGGTATGCAGTTAAAAGAGTCCAAATGCAAGGAACTTCGAATAAGTTTCTCAACTGTAAAGAGAGAGTTTGATCCTATTATTATCAACGACAAAAACATCGAAGTAGTCCAGTGTGAAAAACTACTCGGTTTAACCATCTCCGACAACCTCAAATGGAATAAACATATTGAGACTGTATGCAAGAAGATTTCAACTCGTCTATACTTCTTGCGACAATTGAAACGGGCAAAGTTACCATCCAAGGATCTTCTCTTGTTCTATGTTACTTGTATTCGGCCGGTTGCTGAATACGCGTGCGAAGTATTCCACGATTCCCTTACAAAATACCTGTCAGACGATCTCGAAAGATTACAACGCCGAGCTTGCAGAATAATCCTCCCCGAACATTCGTACGAGGATGCACTTAATCAACTAGGTCTCTTGTCACTGTTCGATCGAAGACAAAATTTGACCGATAAACTTTTTCGGCAAATTGTTAATGATCCGCAAGACAAATTACATCATTTATTACCAGCATTAAATTTATCTGAGGCATCTCTGAGAGAAAGAAGAATATTTCAAGTTCCAAACTGTAGAACATTTAGATTTAAAAACGATTTTATCAATTTCAATTCTAGTAAATACGTATAATATATCTGAGACACTAAATAATGTAAATAGATAGTTTTACCAATTGAACCTCCTCTTTTATGGATTTTAATAACATAGATCATACTTTTTGTAACACTTAAGGTTTTTCAGCCGGAGCCTATTGCCGAGGCTGCAAGTTTTAAGTCAATAAACCATCTATCTATCTATCTATCTATTATGAAATCAAACCATAAAAACTTGTTAAATAAGCGATCAGAGCTGTTCAAGAAATGTCCCCACAATGACCGGTACAAAGCTGGAAAATTTCATCGTGCGCGCGTGCAGCAAGATCAATTGAAAATCACGAAATCAAGCAAGAGAAATAAACGGACATAATCGCCTGATGATCGATCGTTAAAGATCGCGAAACTCTGAGTAGCGAAAAATCATTGTAATTTTAAGATTTTAAATAATATATATATATATATATATATATATATATATATATATATATATATATTATATATATATATATACACATATATATATATATATATACACATATTCTATAGATTAAAAAAGTAAAAAACCACCCCTCGTTTATCGTGAGTGAAATTCAAGTTCGAAAGATTCAAAATAATTTGAAAGTCTCGCGCAAACTCCACGACAAACGCTCGTGGGCAACATTGCAGGGGGGGATTATTTTCACGAATACATTTCTGGTTTATTTTTTTAGCTTTGTAAAAGCAAGAACATGAAATTTAAACGCTGGAGACTTGTTACACTGTTAATTTTGAAGTGTTAAAATAGCACCACCGTAGGTGCCAAATCAACACCATGCAGTGGTGTTAAATAGAAAGTGCTATTTTGGCACCAAATTCGGTGCTAATTTAACACCACCAAATCTGCCATTAGGCTAAAAGTGCCAATATGACACCATATTACCAGCACCATTGCAAGGTGCCAAAATAACACCTCTTTTGCCGACGGGAAGTGCTAAAATAACGCCATATAGGGAGTTAAATATGGGGGGCCAAAATAACACCAAATGGCGGATAGGACGGGAAAGAGCACGTTTGATTTTATTTAAGATATTGGAAAAAAAAATTGTATTTTCGAATGAGATGATTTTGGAACAAGAAATTCGCGTGCGTTTTCGCACAACTATTCATCTAAAAGACGACATGGAAATTCGGCTTGTTGCTATGAATTACGACAGATACGTTTCTATAAAAAAACCCCGAAATACATCGATAGTGATCCATTGTCCTTTTTTATTTTATCAAACTATGTTATTCTGTGCTATGTATTGATTGCTACAAAGTAAATATTTCGCAATCGCGTATAAGCATATGTATGTCCATATAAGGAACGAAATATGACACGTGTCGGCGTTTGTATGCAAATTTTTTGAGCGCGTCGTTTGAAAACTCTTTTGATTCGTATATTCATCAAGATGTTTATGCTGCTGTGTTCAAGAAGTTTTGAGCGTATTTACTCAACTATTTCGGTACTTCTAAATATCGTGAACAACAACGGGCTCTAATAAGGAAATTTCAAGGCAATTGGTTGTTGTATTATCTCTGAAATATCTTGGTAAGTGTTTGAATTTGATCAAATTCAGACATACAATATCCATGTTCGCTCAAAGTCAAACGGAGTGAAACGGCCAAATCGCTAAACAAACAAATGTGTGCAATTTTTTTATTCTAGAGAGGCCAAATGACGTATTCTACTTTACTGCGATCTCTTCAGGAAGCTGTGGTCAAAGAAAATATCATTGCAATAATAGGTATCTGTTCATATTTATTTTACCGTAATTTTATGAAGCGTCTTCGCTAGTCTCTTATTTTATTGACGTAATTTTGCGATATTTTATCCTATATCAACGATTGTTCGTGCTCTATTTTGATATATTAACAATAATCCGTGCTCTATTTTGATAAATGTGACTTAGAGGGCAAGTTATTTGTCTAAAATCAATGCTTGTGTATGTCCTTTGATAGAATTATTACTGTGTGAAATATAATCTCCTATACAGGTTATCTGAAAGTCCCATTTTAGCCTGTCATTTTTCAAATTCACATTTATATTTTGGTCAAATAACAAAGTATGGTTTCCATAATTTAGTAAAATCATTTTCTTTTGCAAGTAAGGTTTGCAACTGAACACATTCTATTACACTGTATTTTGTTGCAGGTAAAGGCAGAATTTGGAAGTGAAATGTGCAAGAACAGATTGGTCAATGGTATGGTTGGCAAATTTCAGTCTATCAAGAGTTGTCAAGAATGCCAAAAATTGTGCCAAGAAGTATGTATTGGTTCTTTCAAACCGGATAGAAACAACAAACAAGATTAGCCGTACAGAGAATCAGGTAAATCATGCAATTAATATACTATAATTTTCCCAAGGACAAAATTACAATGTCACCTGTAGTTTATTGCCCCACAATCTGCTATTTAGACTGTCTTAATTTATCCATTGCTTAGTGTACCTATTATAGTTTTGGTACCTAATTAGATTTTCTCCCATTGATAAACAATTTGTTTTTCAAAACAGACATTCAGAGCACAGCTAGTGGTTGCTTTAGGTCTAACAGAAGGAGAATTTCTCCTCTTTATGTTAGGAAACCTTGTGGGCTGATTTGAATTTTTTAATGATTATTGATATAATTTATCTTAGGTTGATGACTCTATATACAGATGAGGGAATACAAACAATAAAAAAAATGGCCATGGAAGAGCATATGCTGGGAAGTGAGTTTCTGTCGATGAATTTATAAAAGAACTTGACATTGATTGTTGAAAATTGTAAATATTTGTCTGGCTGTTTTTGTAAATAGTCCTGCAGGAGTAATTGTAAATATGCAACTGTGACCAAGTTTAATATGATTTTATTTCCTTGTATATGTCTCATTAATTTTGATTTAGATATGATTATACTGATGTACTGCACATTAAATTGCAGTAGGTAAAAAGGTGCTGCTTTAACACCAAATGTAGTGCTAATTAAACACCCAAAGGTGTTATTCTGACACCAGAATGGGGGTTAATTTAGCACCAGGGATTGGAGTTAATTGAGCACCCGGGTCATGGTGTTAAAATAGCACCTCGACAGGTGTTATTTTTGCCATATTGATTCAACACCTTTTTTGGTGCTAAATTGACACCTTCAAATTAACAGTGTAATTTTCTTATGAGAAATATTAACAGCAAAACGGACAAATTTTACTCGGGTTGTTGACTGATTGTGGTTGTGAACAAATGTATGCTTGAATTTTCGTCCCCCCGGAATGCTGTCATTACAGGAATACAGGTCCTAGACTAACATCATTAAACAATGTAGTCAAAACCAAAACCAATTAATGCTCCAGTGCATACGTGACAAAAACAAAAACAAAAACAAAAACAAGAAACTCCTCACAGGAGTCTGAGACGAGGAAAAATGCCCTTATAAATCCGCCATTTTTGGAGACAAATTTTTATTATGGAAGAGGTATCAGTGCGCATTCTATGTCTATTATTTCTATGGCTTAACCTCAAAACTTTGCACTATTCGGCTTCGCGATATCTAGTTCTGCTTATACATTTAATTAATGCATGTGCATTTTTTGTTTTTAGTTTAATAAGAAAGAAAACCTTTTGATCTGGCCAATTCAACATGTCTTCGGAATTCATCTTCTAAAATGCAATTGGTATGTTGTTAGTATCATTTGCTGCCAACAAATTTTTATTGTGACGACTTTCATAGGATGGATCTGCATGTTCTAAGTGTGAACCAAACTTAAGTGAAACTATAGGTGTCCAAGGATAGTTGAAATTTATATAGATATTGCTAAGCAACCAGACATTTGTCCCACATAAACGTTTTGACTTATGCCAGTAAAAATGTAAAGAACTAGGTTAAACATAACCCTTAATCAAACAGGAGATTACTCAAAGTACTTAAATTACGTTAGCCCCGATATTGTAATACTAGATTATAAATTTAGTTGCTCAAGCAAAGCGGGCGTTATTTTATCAGTTTAGTATTACAGGGTTCGGCAAAAAACACCATGTCTCATCTCTTCGTCAAACAACTGTGACTACATGAACTACATGTATATGATAGCAACAACTGATTCGTCAT